CAGAATTGTTGAAAACCAAGCTTTGGTTGAGCTCGTGGATCCAAGACTTGGCTTCCGATCAGACCTTAAGATCAAGCAGATGATAACTGCTACGGCTGAGCTTGCATTTAGGTGCTTGCAATGTCCACAAGAATTAAGGCCAAACATGGAACAAGTGCTAGAGATTCTCAATGGCATAAGGCAAGGGAGATATGAAACAAACCCAATAAAAGGTGTGTAAGACCATCTTTAATTTATCCCTTTTCCTCTCTCATGGCTTTCTACCTACTATATGTTTTGGTTCGTAACATGGTACAGACCGTGGATTAAAGGTTTTATATATTAATGTCTTTTTATATATAATCCATACATCTCAGCTTTCAAAATCTTCCACGATGCGGAACTTGAAGAAGCTACTAACCATTTTGACACTTGCCTTGGAAGGGGAGGATTCGGCATTGTCTACTATGGTAAAAGGCTATTACACCTTTAATTTGTGCATATTTTAAAGAACTAATATGATAAATGCACATCTTATTTTTGTTGTGAAATTTATACTAATTAGTTTCAATCTCTGGTGTAGTAATGTCGTAATCAGTCCCTAATAATTCATGGATATATATATGTTAGGAAAACTTCAAGATGGGAGAGAGGTTGCAATAAAACGTTTCCATGTTGAGACAGAAAAAACCATCCTGCAATTCATGAAAGAAATTGAGATCTTAACTCCCTTGCACCATCCAAATCTGGTTTCACTTTATGGCTGCAGTTCTCGTCATAGCAACAAACACATGCTAGTGTTTGAGTACATTTCCAACGGCACTCTTTCTAAGCATCTTCATGGATCTTCTTGTGGTAAACTACCATGGCCTACTAGGTTGAACATTGCCATTGAAACTGCAACTGCCTTGGCATATCTTGAAGACTCAGGTATCATCCACCGAGATGTGAAAGGGAGCAACATTCTTTTGGATGAGAATTTCAATGTTAAAGTAGCAGATTTTGGACTCTCAAGGTCTCTTCCAGATGGTGTGACTCATGCTTCAACTTTTCCAGTAGGAACTAGGGGTTATATAGATCCAGACTATTATAAAACTGGAAGGGTCTGTATCAAGAGTGATGTCTATAGCTTTGGTGTGGTATTGTTTGAGCTCATATCATCCAACCCTTCAAGTTTAATGAAACGCGGAGAGTATGTGACTCTTGCCCAGTTTGCAATGAGTAAAATGTTAAACAAGGCATTAGAGGAACTAGTGGATCCAAGTCTTGGGTTTGGTTCTGACAAAAATGTAATGGAAATGATAACAGCAGTGGCAGAGTTAGCATTTCAGTGTGTGCAGTGTCCTAAGGAACTCAGACCATCCATGAAACAGGTGCTAGAGACTTTGGAGGGCATAAGGAAGGGGACATGGGGATTCAACCAGATATCATAGTCTTTAATTTATGCCAACACCATAGTCTTTAATTTATGCCACCACCTCGGAAGCCATCTATTGAACCATTCATTTGTGTTCCCTTTCGTTTATTAGATTATCAAATCTGAGCTTGAAACTAAAATTTCTTTCATCAATAATCTTTTTTTAACATGTAAAATTGGTATCTGAAGTTCAAACTCGGACTGATGGCTAGTATTGCATCAATCCATTGAAAATATAACACAGTATAATACTTGATGAGTTAAGTTTACAGCAGTACATGAATAATAAATTTTATATTCATTTTTTAGTTATTCATCTCTCGTTAAGTATAAATGACACAATATTAGATAAGAGAGCTTAATTCTTTACACATAACAATCAACTCAATTAACCTTACATGTCTGTCGTATTAAATATATCCAAATCAAAGTATAAATTATTATCAAGTATTGTTCTCCCAATTCACAAGTATTTTAGATAGTATCACAAGCATTATATATTTATTGGATTTGGATAATAATATGTGATTTATTATTTTTCATATTAAAATATTTGATATTTGTATTATTTTTTAAAGATATTTGAGTATGTTTATAATTTTTTATATAAATTATAAATTTACATATACGTATCAAATCATGCGATTAAACCAATGACTAATGAGCCAAGACCTAGACGCGGATGACCGAACTGGGTTTAATCTATATTACACCGACACAGGACACGAGATACGACACGACACGATATTTTGACAGTTTAATTCTAAAAAGTGTTAAAGTTCAACATGTTAGGACACTTTTTGATATTAAATAATATTTTTAATTTATTTTCACTTTTGTATGGTTATAATTTTTCATATTTAATGATTTCACATTAAATATGGGGAATCATAACCATACAAAGATGGAAATAAATATAACCGTTGGATCAACATAATCAATTTAACGGTAAAATTAATTGATAATAACATTAGTAATAACACTAATTGATTGTTACATAAGTAATAATAGTAACACAATTTTGCTTTTCCTTTTCTTTAATTAGTCATGTTTTATGGTTCTTCCTTCTTTCATAGGGTTGGCTCGCAACCCGTCCTAAATGAGTCGGGTTGGGCTGGCTTAAATGAGCTGCCAACTCGATTCAACCCGACCCAATACAACCCTAACTCAAACGAGCCAGCTCGCGGGTCAAACGGGCCAGCTCGCGGGTTGGCTTTTTTTTATTAATTTAATTAATAATATCGTCACTTTCTTTCTCGTTCTTTTTTTTCCAACCCTAACGAGCTAAATTAGCTAATCTGGCCCCTTTGCCCAACCGAACGGCCGAACCCTGCGAGGCTGTGACCATCACCATCCTCGGACAACCATTTGCAATCGAAGAACCCTGCGACCATCACCATCACCATTTCAATCGATTTTCTCACTTTTCATCTCCTCCTTCTCTATCACCTTCTAGTTTAGGTCAGTTAAACCTTCCTCTCACACTCTCTCTTCTTCTACTTGCTTCAATGTCATGACTCATGAGCATTATTTCAACGCCTGATTCACTAACATGACGCCGTTTTCCTTGGATTGTTGTTGTGTAGACAGATTTACTGAAGGTTGCATCTAGAAGGTTTGCTTTAACAGCAACTAAGACACAATCCACATCAACCGTGCCAGTTAAGACACAATCCACATCCACTATGACAGTTGTAAGTTCACTTAGGTTCTCATTTCCTAAATTAATTTATTTTATTTATTAATTCAATTTTATTTTGATTTGTTTTCGTTTTCAATAATGGATTTTTGCAGTCAGATAGTGATTTTTTTTTTTTTGCTTATGTGATTGGATATAGGAAATTGATAATCTGTCTAGTGTCAAGAGGCAATTGGCGCAGCTGTTTGAGGCCTTCTCACTTTGTTTTCTAAATTATTTTCGAAACTATCAAGTATTTGGATGCTTTCTGACTTCCGTTATTTGTAATTTCAGTGTTTTTTTTAATTTGGATGCTTTTGTTTGGCCTATTTTGCCGATTTGAGGACCAAATATTATAAGTGTCTTCAGCAGAAAACCTCGTTGCCTTCAAATCCATGATATCTGTTTGCCTTCAAGGCTGTGTTTATTCTTCTGAAATTGCTAATTTGCTTGTATCTTTGAGCTTTGCTTCTTGAGTTAGATGCTACATAACAATGGTATCACATAGCAATATAGGCTTATTGGCATATAAGAAAAGGTTGGGGGTTGAGAATATGGGGTTGTTGTGGTTAAAGACTTCATTTTTCTTGATGATTCACCATGCATACCAAAAGTTATTGTTGTTTCAAGATATATGAAGTATTGGAATGAACCTATTTGAATTAAATGTTGAACTTTTGGAAGATCAATGATGGAAGTGAGGTAAAAAGACCGAGATTCTCTGTTTTGATAGAGGGGGTGTGAATACCCTGATTTCTCATGTTGAATTTGATGACGATTTGTGATATTCTAGAGAAGGCTGAGTTATACGCATGTATAGTATATGTCAATGGGTGTGTAATTAGAATGCATGTTGATTTTTTAATGTAGAATGAGGAGAGTTTGGGAATAGAGTACACATACCCTGTTTTGGCCGGAGAATATGTGAATGTGCATGTCTTATATTGTTTCATTTTTAAGATGTTGTGAAAGCTTATTGTGGTCGAGCCACATTGTATTTTGTCATTATGGGACACAGAATGCTTAACCAACTGGCCTTGCTCATTGTACTGATCAAAGTTATAACGTGTGCTAAAGTGCGAATTTGCAGTTGTGTGACATAGGTAAAGCTTGGCATCAAAGTTGTAACGTGCAGACTTCAAGTCTCTGAAAATTTGAAATGGCTGATTCGAATAGGTAAATGTTTTCCTATTTTTAAAAAGCTGTTATGTTTCACTAATTTTTGTTTTAAATTATCTTTTCCATTTTCGCTATAGTAATTTTATATTAAACTTTGATATAGGGAAAGCTTGGCAATGATTGAAGAGGGCAATGATGCTGTTGCAGAAAGCGAAGAATTGGAAGTTGAAGAAGGACCTGCTTTTAAAAGGCCTAGGAAAAGGAAAGCGCGTTGCTGGAAACATTTCACAATAATAGGAGAAAAAGGGCATGAAAAGGCAAGATGCAATGGTTGCAAGATAGAGTACAAGATGGACAGTAAGACTTGTGATACATCTACTTTAAACCGTCACATTGACAAATGCACACAAATCAAACATGAAGAAATTGGCCAAGTCATTTTAGACATGCAAGGTAAAATGAAGGCTATAAAAATAGATATCAAGGTAGCACGTGAGATGTATGCTGAAGCTGTTGTTGAACTTGATCAGCCCTTTAACTTTGCCGAGTATAAGAAGTTTAGGCGTTTTCATAATTACTTGAATCCAGATTGAACTGGCATTTCTAGAAATACTCTTAAACAAGATGTTTAATGTGCACATGAGAGACAAGATGAAGCTGAAAAAGATGTTTGGTAGCATTGAAAGTATGATATGATTAACTTCATATTTGTGGACATCTTGTAATACTGAGGGTTATGTTTGCTTAACCTCCCATTTTATTGATGTAAATTGGAAGCTGAATAGTAAAATTATTGCCTTCTGTCATATGCCTCCTCCTCATACTGGATTTGAATTGACTCATAAGCTACTTGGTTTGATAAAGGAATGGGGCATAGAGAAGAATATGTTTACCATTACTTTGGATAATGCATCTGCAAATGACTCTATGGTTGGTGGTTTGAGAAGTCAATTGAATATGCAAAAATTGTTGTTACGTGATGGGAAATTTTTTCATGTGCGTTGTTCTGCACACATATTGAATTTGATTGTTCAAGATGAAGTAAAAGTTGCAAATGATGCCTTGTCTCGGATTAGAGAGAGTGTTAAATATATAAAAGGCTCAAAATCAAGAATGATCAAATTTAAGGAGTGCATTGAACAAGTTGGTGGTGAGAAAACCGTAACTGCATTGATAGCAGATGTACCCACTAGATGGAATTCCACTTATGAAATGCTTAATCATGCTCTCAAATTCAGGCGTGAGTTAGCAATTCTCCAATTGAATGATAGAAATTACAAGTATTATCCTTCAGAAGAAGAGTGGAATAGGTTGGAAATTCTTTGTCGGTTCTTGCAACCATTTTGTGATATCGCTAATTTGATGTCTGGCACTTCTTATCCTACTTCTAACTTGTATTTTCTACAAGTTTGGAAAATTCAGTGTGTTCTTATTCGTATGAGTAATGATGAAGATGTGGTTATAAGTAGCATGGCTAATAAGATGATGGATAAGTTTCAAAAATATTGGGAAGAGTATAGTGATGTGCTTTCACTAGGAGCTGTTCTTGATCCTCGCATTAAGTTTACTACATTATCTTTTTGTCATAAAAAGATTGATGCTTACACACATGATGACAAGATGGAACATATAAAGGCAAACGTGTATAAGCTCTTTGAGAATTATGTAAACATTAATTCATCAACTACAATTGATCAAAGTCAAGATAACATTCACTCTTCAAGTCAAGGGTCAATGGAAACGAGATGATGGAATGATGAGATCTTTTATGTAAGTTCATGTTTAGCAAAAAGCTTTAATTATGTTATATCATATTCATTTTCATGCCTTTATTTATGCATGTAGTTACTTACTTCAATTATTATGTTTTTGCACTTCTCAAATATGATAGGAATTGTTCTTGCACAATCAACACCTTGCAATAAATGCTGGAAAATCTGAACTTGATGTTTATTTAGAGGAGCCTATATTGGTTATTGACAACTGAAATAGTTTTGATGCATTGCAATGGTGGAAGGATAATAGTTGTCGTTTTCCGAATCTATCATTAATGGCTCGTGACTTGTTAACCATTCATATTACCAATGTGGCATCTGAATCTGCTTTTAGCATTGGATCACGTATGCTTACCAAATATAGAAATAAGTTGTTGTCAAAGAATGTTGAAGCTTTGGTATGTACCCGCAATTGGTTGGCTGGTTTTGATGCCAATGGTAATTTATTTATTTTCAATGCAATTAAAATTTCATTTTCATTTGTCATTGTAACCTTAATTGATTATTTACATTTTATGGTTTGTGTTTTGTAGATGATGATGATGAAGAAGATGGTATTTCCCATATATTAGCTTCTTCACGGGGATCTAATGGTCGTGAAACTTTGTAGATGATCTAATGATGATAGTGTACTTTTGCATGTTTAGATTTTGATATTGTACTGTATTGGCCATGGGAACTCACAGGACAATTTTTATTTTGTAATGTGTTTGTCTACTGCTATGTTGGGATTTTTTAATTTATTGGTTATGTTTTAATAGTTACTCAGTTAGTGTCTTTACACCATTATCCATTAGGCAATCAATAGTTTTGGGAGTTTTGATAATTTTATGCCGTGTTGGAGAACAAATAAGACTAGTTCCACAAAAATCAATTTTTTTGAGCCAACCCGCGAGCCAACCCATTGGCATCATTTTGAGCTAACCCGCGAGCTTTTTTTTGAGCCAACCTGCGAGCTTTTCTCCGAGCCAACCCACGAGCTGATTATCGAGCCAACCCTAACCCGGCTTGAGTTGAGCTGGGTTGGATTTTCTGGTTCGTTTATTTTTTCGAGTCAACCCTAACCCGACCCAATTTGTACGGGTTGAATGCAAGTTGGACCGGGTTGGCCCGTTTTGCCAACCCTGTTCTTTCCTCCTTCCATATCTTTTCCTTACAGTTTCTTTTTTTTTTTTTTTCTTTCCTTTCCTTCAATTGACACTGTTAATTTATCTTTCTATCTGTCCTTTGTGCTGGTTCTGTTTACTCTTTACAGCTTTACGCGTTTCTTTCAACACAGGGGGCAGTTTTAGTAACATTGTAACAGATCTTACAGATTTTCTGAAGAATACAAGGTTAAATGCTACCCTTTTGTTTGTCATGACTGAACCTTGCAGAAAATTAGCACCTATCCCTCTTGATCATCAAAAGCTGTCAACTTTATAGAACGACATATGAAAAGGATGCTTTTTTGGTAAATTTAAGATTACTTGGTCTTGGTTCCCCAAGGTGAGAATTTCTCTGTCACTTTTACAATACTTAGATCACTTTGGTTTCTGTGTAGTGATTGAAAAAAAAGGAAAACTTTTTTTTATGAATTTGGGTTTGCTATAGATTTTTTTCACTTGCCCATTTACTGAAATGGATTCTAACCCCTTCAGGTCATGATTTCCAACTATGTAAATTTAGGGACTTGAATCTTGGAAGCAGTGATTATAGATAATAAGTGGTTTAAGTGATGCCAATCTTCTCGTTTATATCTCAGTGTTTCTTCAGTGGTGGAAGTAGAAACCACTCTTCACTAGAAATGGGTTCTGATGTGAAGGATAGCCAGTTGGTGCCTGTGGATTCTGAGGAGCCAAGCAGGGGTGATCAAGTGGTGACTGAGGGTTCTAAGGTTCAAAGTAACTGGGTTGAATCATTGCCTGTGATATCTGAGTTACCAAGTAGTCATGGTCAATCAATGTTGGTTGATTCTGAGGTGCTGAATTGCCAATACCACAGAAGTGAGATCTTCAAGTATTCTGAACTTGAAGAAGCCACCAATAATTTTGACCCTAGTAGAATACTTGGGAGGGGAGGCTATGGGACAGTTTACTTTGGTAAGAAGTTCCCATTTATTTCAATTTTTCATTTTCAAAGTTAGTAGTTAGATTCTGTTTTATACTGATGTAGGCTTAGTTGGAACTTTGGTAATCTGTTCTTGCATGTTAGATTTCTAGAATTCAGTTTTTATCTTGCATTTATAATTTAGAGTAAATACCATTTTTTATCCTGAGCAAATTTTACGAAACCCACTTTAGTCTCTAGCAAATAAAAAGACCCATCCCATCGTGGTCCCTAAAAAATTCAAAATGGACCTATTTTAGTCCTTTTAGGGACTAATATGGGTCTTTTTTGAATTTGTGAGGACCTCGATTTCAACTAAATGGGTCCATTTTGAATTTTTTAGGGATCACGATGGACCTTTTTATTTGCTAGGAACTAAAACGGGCATCGTGAAATTTGCTGAGGACCAAAAAAGGTATTTACTCTATAATTTATCCTTTCAGTCATATGGTACCAGTCAGTATGAAAACGATGTGAAAAAGTGAACTGAGACTGCACTGATGATGATTCTTGTCAAAACCAGATATAAATTATAGAGCAAATATCTTTTTAGGTCCTCAACAAAAAAAACGGAACCAACTTAATCTCTTAGAAAAAAAAATACCTATATTAGTCCTTTTTGAGGGATTAACAAGGGTCTTCTTTGAATTTTAGAGGGACCACAAGTCGACTTTTTCTTTCTCATAGATTAATTTGGGCCTCGTGTTTTTTCTTGAGGAACAAAAAGGGTATTTACTCTAAATTATATTAGTTCAATAAAATGTTCAGGAAGAATGAGTAAATGAATTCTAAATATAGAACAGAAGAAGAGAGTATATGCTTATGGGCAAACTGAGCATTATCATGAAGGTAACTAGTTGTGACATACTGGTAAAGCTGATAGTAAAAGTGATAAGATGCATGTATAAGTAAGGTTAGCTCTAAACAGTTGCTTGCCTGCTACATGATGACAAGATTTACAGAATTGGATAATGGATATACTTACTCAATTTTTTTTATATCATAGGAATACTTAAGGATAAACGTCCTGTTGCAATAAAACGCTTGCATAAAGACAGGTTCAAGATCTTAAGGTTACATGATGAGAAGCTTGAGGGAGAGAGACTTCGAAAGTTCATGAATGAAGTTGCTATGTTAACTTGCTTGAGACAGAAAAATCTTGTCCAACTGTATGGTTGCACCTCTCCTCAGTCCCAAGAACTGCTTCTTGTGCAAGAATTCATTCCTAATGGAACTGTTGCTCGTCATCTTCATGGTAAAGACACCTTGCCATGGTCTACTAGACTAAATATTGCCATACAAACTGCAAGTGCATTGGCTTATCTTCATGCTTCCAACATTATCCACCGAGATGTGAAAACCAGTAATATTCTTCTTGACAGAAGTTTGAATGCTAAAGTTGCAGACTTCGGATTGTCGCGCCTCGTCCCACATGATGTTACCCATATTACCACTGATATTGCTGGGACTACAGGTTATATTGATCCAGAGTATATTGAACATTGCCATCTTTCTGATAAAAGTGATGTATATAGCTTTGGAGTAATATTGTTTGAGCTGATATCATCTTTGCCTGCATTTGATGATGGTGATAAACAGCCCTATCTTTCAGACTTTGCCATGGATAAAATCTTTTGTGGACAACTCCATATGCTTGTTGACCCAAATCTTGGATTTCAATCAGACAAATGGGTAAGTGAAACAATTAATGCAGTGGCAGAGTTGGCATTTAGTTGTCTGCAACGCCAAAGAGACATGAGACCTTCCATGGACGAGGTGTTAAATACTCTTCAGAACATTAGAAGTGGAAGCTCTCAGAAGATTCTTACCTGGGGTCCAAATAGTTGTTACAATTCTACCAAATTTCACATTGTGTCCCGCTTGCCTGATGATTATTTTGAGAAAAAATAGCATAGCAACAATGAAATACTATAAAATAGCATAGCAACAATGAAATACTATCTGCTCATACATAAATGATTTCAACATTTAATATATAATAAATACCAATTATGATATATGCTTTCAACCCTTCCATGGTTCTATAAAAATTATATTTGTCAAATGTTAAATGAAGTAGCAGAAGAAGTTCTGGTGGTACTAGAATTCTGCTTTCACCTGTAGTAGTAATGGAGATAAATAAATAATCTTACTTTAGTAGTTTAATCTTCCAGGTTGAACCCCGTGATATTCCCTATATCTTTGTAAATTGATTTTACAGGCAAGGGTGGCAATAAATCTGCTTGTACATATTTAATAAGACAGGTACCTGGATAGTTGATAAGCTATTTTTTGAACTTGAACTAAACTCTACACCTACTATAATTTTATTGTTCCGAAAAGTTAAATGGGATAGGAAGTAATATTTCTGGACATGCCAGAGTTTACAATGATATTTATAAGGGGGCGTTTGGTATGAGAGATATTTTGTTTTACTGAGAAAAAAAGATTGTTGGGGATTTGGTAAGAAATTTGTTATTCCGGGTAAGTTATAAAAAAGTGTTTGGTTGGTCAAAATTTTATCGGAAAAGTTGAGTTATTTTACTGATGTTATGTTTAGTTGATAGTAAAATATTGATGGGAATGTGAATTGAAATTACCAAAATATCAAAGACCATGGGCAATCTCTTTACACATGATGTCATATATTATAAGGGTATTTTTGACTCAATATATTACATTCAAAATCCAAGACCATGGCAAAAAAAAAATACCAAAGATTAAGTGGGATAATATTTTGCCTTTGTGTAGTTGAAAAAGAAAATACTGGGGAAAAAAATTTGTTGACATTTTGTCACAATACTCATACCAAACATGGTAAATAAATATTGGGAAAAGTGTGTATAATTTTGAAGGATGTAAAGTTGTGTCATTTTAAGAGAAAGAAAAAGATAGATAAAGGAGGAGAGAGAGTTGACAAAAAAAATAAAGTTGTGGGTCCCACCTCTTTGTGAGAGTGAAAGGATGTAAGTTGTGTAATTTAAATGTATAGACACTTTTCCCATAAATATTCTTCACCTCATTTTTTCATCATTTCATACCAAATCCCAATACCAAACACTCCTTAAGAGTTTATAATTATACTTACAGTTATCCTGCTGATGAAAGATAACCAAAGTTCCTACTGTAAGTTGACATTATAAAATGAAAAGGGAATATGATTATTGTTACGATTCAGTTGTAAGGTATGAGACTTGGAGTCTTGTATTGGAAACATAAGGTTTTGATATGATTTTTATATGGATTTTGAACTCTCCTACCTTACAAACTAGCTTTTGGGGTGAGGCTCTCCCAGTATTCGTACGTTGCAGTGTTTACCTCGTTTAGAAGGTATGTGACTTGAGTTGCACATCGAAAACAGAAGATTTTGACGTGGAGTTTATACAGACTTTGGGATTTTTTATCTTATAAATTGGCTTTTGAAGCAAGGTTCGTCCAAAATTTGTATCAATTATTTAGTACCTTTGATAATATGGGCTGCAACTATTTGATTTTTAATCTTTGTAAGAATTACTTTTGGGCCTGGGTTAGCATTGGATCTCCACAAGTAGAGGAATTTATTATACTTAGAATACTGGATGTCTAGATATAAATGGGGAAAAGTTTAGGATTACACATTCTTATAAGAATCTTGATGTTTTTATTTCGAATGGAATTCTAATTCTAAAAAATTTCGAGCTTAAATGACTTATGCTACGTACAAATCTCAAAGTGATAAAATTTGTGGATACCACGTCTAAAGTAATCCTAGAGGTTTACAGATCAAGTTATATTGTTTAATTAAAAAGATAAAAATTTAATTTATGTGTATTTGGAAATTAGTGGTGCTGCTTGTAATTTTAACTAAATTAGGTAGGGTAATAAATTAAACAAAGTAGGAGTTATGGTAAAAATCGATCAATTAGGTTGATTCATTTGAATCTGTCCTACTATTTAGCACTTTCGTTACAAAATGCACTTAAATTTAAGTTGGATTTGATTTAATTTTAATTTAATTATTTGAATTCAAAATTTTACCTTTATTTATTTAACATTTTATATTTTCTAATTAAGGGTAAGAAAATAAAATTATTAAAATAAATTAATTATATTCATTTTAAGGTGTTTCAAACAACTTGTTTTGATCTCTGATAAGGGCATATGAGAAATTAACCTGTCGGGCATTGAAAAAACCATCCCAATAATTTTCTTCTCCAATTTTTGAACTTTGGCTTTTTCTTAAAGGGTAATCAATCGGTAATGTTACAGAAATTTTTTTCGTTTTTCCTGCAGACATAACTTATCATGGGACCCGTCCATTATTTTCTCTCTCTTTTAAAATTATTTTCTCTCTCTTAAAATATTGTCTCTGCAGGACAATATTTTTTTTTCCTATAACAGTACATATGCATTCCCCTTTCTTAAAATTGCAACTTGCTTACTACCCACTTAGTCCTTTTCGTTCTAAACAAACACTAATTTTTAAATCAATTCAAATCTTACTTTAACAAAGAATTTCAATTTCAATTTTAGTGATTTCAGACATAACTTTTTTTTATTTGCTTGTAAAATGATTTAAAAATAAAATTAATCAATTTCAATTTTAGTGATTTCAGACATAACTTTTTATTTTATTTTCTTGTACAGACACAACCAAGTATTTATTTTAAAATGCAAAGGGTGTGTTGACTGTTGATGAAGGAAAACTTAGGTAAGCATTAAGGTGGATTTTGGTAGAGGATTTTTTTTTTTTATCCAAAAATCATGATTTTCATGAATATAGTGGAAAACTCACTTTCCAGAAAATGTTACCAAAAAATTGTTTGGTAGATCAAAATATTACCAAAATTTTGTCCCAAAAAGAAGTAGAAATTTTTTTAACACATGGAATTGCAAGAATACCATTATTTGTATAGCATTTTAGATAAAAATTGTACACAAAACAAAATCCTAAAAAAATAAGATTTCGATGAGAATTTTCAAAAACTTTATATTAAACGTGAGTAAATAAGATTATCAATATCACTTTTTTGAAATCTCAAAAAATTCTCCCATTCAAATACCCCCTAACTGTATTGTCTTAGGGAACTTAAATCCGGAAAGTTGTGGTCCCTTGAAGCAATAGGGTGCCATATTTGTCACGATGACGATTTATCTTTCACAATCAACTCAGGTTTTATAGGTGTTAAGTTTATAATAATCATCTTTTAATTAGAGTAAATTTCTTATACGTATACTGATAAAAAGTTTAACCTTGCTTTGGCATATACTAACTTCCTTTCTTTCACATTTTTTAACAAAAAAATCACTGAAGTGTATAATATTTACACAATTATTGTATGTTTAGCATGAACAGATATATGTTAAAATAATATTATATCATATAACATGATAAATATATTTCTCGTTATGAATTCTTAATAACAAGTTGAGAAGATCGTGAATATTGACTGACTTCCCATGAGGAGGAATATTTCTTTGAATGCCTCTAGAATATGCTGTATGGAACCCATAAATATGCTTGCAAATGTTGTCATTATAGCTTTAGCATGACAATGACATACTAAAGTCCAACAACCCCAAACTATCAAGGGCCCCATCTATTTGATAATCTCAGTGTAGATCAACACATGTCCGATCCCAATTTTCACCATGTTGCTCCTCCCATGATTGTCCTATCTTCTTCAGTTTTTGTGAGAAACCTAGATGGACACAAGGGTTGGGCCCGTTGGAGACACCATTCAAATTGTTCTCTTACCACCCATTACCTGACATCTTTCAATATATATATATATATATATATATATATATATATATATATATATGGAAAAGTGTGTGTCATTTTAAAAGATGTAAAGTTGTGTCAATTTAAGAGAGAGAAAGAGATAGATAAAGGAGAAGAGAGAGTTGACAAAAAAAATAAAAGTGTGGGTCTCACCTCTTTGTGAGAGTGAAAGGATATAAGTTGTGTCATTTAAAAGGATAAACATTTTTGCCATATATATATATATATATATATATATATATATATATATATATATATATATGGGGTAAACATTTCTACAGCCGCTTTAAACAAAGTTATCTACAGCTATCCCAAAAACTATGTCGTTTTGATTAATGAAAGGTGTTTTTGTAATTTTAGATGAATTAATGAATGGTGTTTCTGTAATTTTGTTTATTTTTTTATCATATGCATTTTATCGAGACACCATTCATTTACTCACCTAAAATTACAGAAACACCCTTCATTAATCAAAACGACGTAGTTTTTGAGGTAGCTATAGATAACCTTATCTAAAGTGGCTGTAGAAATGTTTTTTCCTATATATATATATATATATATATATATATATATATATATATATATATATATCGGATAGGTCATTCTACCTATCATTTTTTCTGTCTACCACTCTAAAACACCACTAGATCAGAATCTTAACTAACATTTATCTTTCTCTCTCTTCTTAAGATTCTGATCTAATGGTGTTGGAGGGTGGTAGGCAAAGGTAAGCAGAAAAAATAGTAGGTAGAATAACATATTCGTGTGTGTGTGTGTGTGCGTGTGTGTGTGTGTGTGTGTGTGTGGGATCTTTTGATACCGATATCAAATTTAAAGTTTGACACCTCATCTGAGAGCTATTAGATCAACAACTCTAATTTGTAAGCATGTGACACCATTGGTTTTTTGATCTAACGACTCTCAGATGAGGTGTCAAACTTTAAATTTGACACTGGTGTCAAATGATCCTAGCTTATATATATATGTATATATGAACTCATCGTTTCTCAAGTCACTTGAGATAACTTTATTTTCGGCCACTAAATTATAACCGTACAAAAATGGATCAATGGTGATAAAGGAAGAGAGAGTAAAAGGGAATTATAATCACACAAAGGTGAATCAATTAATGTAAGAAAATAAACAAAATGACGTATTTTTGCGGTGGACGGAAATAAATATATCTCAAGTGACTTGAGAAATATTTCTCTCTCTCTCTATATATATATATATATATATATATATATATATGGGATACCATCTTCTCCTGCAGCAGGAGAAGTGATGTCTTCTGTTGCAAACTCAAAATTATGGCGGGCCCCACTCTTAAAAATAAAAAGGCACATCACACATCTTGATGAGTTAGTAGGAAAAAATTTTCTTCTCCTACTGCAGGAGAAGAATAAATCTCATATATATGAGGTAGGATCCTTTAACACCAGTGTTAAATTTAAAATTTGACACCTCATCTGATAGCCGTTGGATAAAAAAATATCAATGGTGTCACATGCTTACGAATCAGAGTTGTTGATCTTTTTTTATCCAACGGCTCTCAGATGAGGTATCAAATTTCAAATTTGACACTGGTGTCAAAGGATCCTACCTCTATATGTATATATATATATATATATATATATATATATATATATATATATATATATATATATATATAAAAGAATATAATCTCCTCCAATAGTATTTTATTTTATTACTATGTGTTATTATAACAGGAGATTATATTTTTAATTATATTTATTTCTATATATATATATAGGGAAAAGTGTTTGTCATTTTAAATGACATAACACTCTGTCCTTTTAAGAGAAACAGACACAAAAAAACAAATTCTATTTAAATTTTGAATTATAAAAAACCACCCACTTTCTCTCTCCCATGATTTTTATTTTTCTGTGTCTATCTCTCTCCTAAAATGACATAACTTATATCATTTAAAATGATAAACACCAAACTCATATATATATATATATATATATATATATAAAAGATTAAGATAGTAATAACCTTTTAGGTCATGGCTTAAGTAATATATTTTGGGAATATCACCTACCACAAGAAATTAAAGCCTAAGGGGGCGTCTGGTTCAGGGTTTTTAAATATATGTCCATGCATCTGACTTTGAGAAAGTATCATGTCCCCGTTTGGTAGAGAGAAACCAAATATTTTCCCTACTTTCGTATTTGCATAGCGTTTCAGAAAGCCACCTAAAAAATGAAGTGTTGTCACTGTTGAGAAAGACAACATGGAGGTGGTATTTCGTATTTCACTAGGTAAATGGCAAGTAGGGCAACCAACATCAGACGAAAATACCCTCATGTTAGCTTGCTTCTCTTCACTGTCTCCACCATCTGAAGCTTTAGCTAACACAAATTTTAGCAGTAGTTCCACCATAGGCCTGCAATTTCTCTTTACTGCTCTGTGTAGAAGACTCATGTCTAACAACACCCGCAAAGATAATGTCACGGCTGCCTCAATGACATTCTCCAATCTACAGATCTCTGAACAAATTTCTTGCTCTGCTTTTATTTTATTTTTTAAAATTGTTCTGGGTGTTCCATCAAATTTTCCTATTTACCGATATTTGTCTCCCAAAAAATGGTATTTTAGTATTTCTAATCAATATTCTACTTTTAACCAAACATACATTCAAAAAATTTAACCCAATTTCTCCGGTAATATTTTGGCGTACTAAACAACTTTTTTTCAATTTTTCTACCAAAATCATTTTCCCACCGTATTCCTACTAATTCTATTTCCCTGGTAAAAAAAATTTCTCCTGAACCAAACTCCCCCAAAAGGTATGAAACTTGGAGTAAATACTAGGTAGGATGGTTTCTTGTATTACAAGGTTTTGTTATGGTTGATGCATTTATTTATGTATTTGAAGTTTCACATCTTATACAATGGGAAAAAGTGTGTATCATTTAAAAGGATGTAAAGTTGTGTCATTTTAAGAGAGAGAAAGAGATAGATAAAGGAGGAGAGAGAGTTGACAAAAAATTAAAGATGTGGGTCTCACATCTTTGTGAGAGTGAAAGAATATAAGTTGTGTCATTTAAAAGGATAAACATTTTTTCCTATACAATATACAAGATAATTTTGTTTTTTACACATATATAAAAAAAATTATATGGGACTTAATTTTTTTTCTCTCTCTTTTCCTCTCATAGTCCCATAAATTTTTGTGTGTCTATGAAATAAAATTATTTCCTAAAATATAACAAACTTTAAATCCTTTATTTGTTGTCTGTTTGAAGGATGTGTTGGGACTAGTTGTGTGCATAAGAAATAAAATGCTTTGTTTGAAGGCTTTGGCTTGGTGTTAGATGAAAATCATATATTTCTATATTAATCAATATGCAGCAAAATCAGGTTATAGAATTTGGCATCCGCTAAATTTCCAGGCCTCACATGCAACAAAGTACTAATTTAAAGAATCTTCGACTAATAGAGATATGGGAAGCTGTTGGTGACTTTTCAGAGTTGAATCCACAATAATTGTCTAAAGAACTTGAAGAATAATGTATTTCAGTGGATCAAGATAATGGGTCCAACATGTCTAGATCCATTTCACGTAGGATCTAAACCTAACACCAAACTTTTTTTAAGAAGTAACTCCTATATATAGTTGAAGTAAACTCAACCAAATAGCTAAGGGTAAAATTGTTGAAAATAGTAACGATAAAATTTCACGTCGGCTAAAAATCAACCAAATAAGGATTATGTTTAAAGTAGTATTGTAAATATATATATTTTTTATTAGTGTTTAGGTTAAATATGGGCTAAATCCATTAGGTTTTCTATATATTATACACACCTATACCTATTCAATATATGGATTATTTCACAAATTCTTTCGTTTCTTGTTATTCAATATGGTATCTAGAGCCAAACGAGAGGAATTCTGATCTTTTTTTTTCGGTGAACCCACTCTCCATCGTCTTTTCCAATCTTTTTCCGGATACTGTCTCCTTTCAGTTTTCTGAGATCTCCTTTGTTCTTGGGTCGTCTGTGTATCGTTGTTGAACCATTTTCTTCGTAAACCACAGTCAGACAACCTTAACCATCGCTCCTCCGTTGTTGACCACCACCGTCCGATAGCTTTTTTTGACAAGCCACCTACTGCTGTGCTCGTCTCGATTCCATCTGTCCTGGTCCCGTCCAAAAAAGGTCTCTCACGTGCCCTCACGCAAGGGTCAAAGCTGCCCACGTGGTCTTCTGTTGGGCGGCGCGTGGCATATCCTTTCTGGCAGCGACAGTTGGGTTTTTCTCGTCTCTCCGCGATGATTCTAGATCTGGTCCTGTTTTGGTGTTTCGACATCATTTTTGGTGACGCACGGATCCCACCTCTACCGGTTAGTTTTGTTATCTGTCTTTCAGATTTTCTGATCTTTCTTTTGTTGGGTGATTATTAAGGGAGAAAGTGGGATGGTCTAGGCCGAGATTTGCTGCGAAAAGCCCAAGCCTATTCCAAAAATTTTAATTTGGCCTGGCCCAAGCCTAGTAGTACGAGTCTAACTGTTAGTCTGGCTTGACCCGTTTATAAAAAAATAAAAGTCTGGCTTGGCCCATTAGCCTGTTAATTTTTAACTTCCAAGCAGAACCATAAATCAACTTCACAAAATACTCAAATTTTGTTGCTAAAACAAAAATAACAATTTCAACGTCCAAACAAAACCATGAATCACAACAAAACTCATCACAATCTGCATTTAAGTCACTATCTAAAGCAAAATGCTCAAACTAAATAACATATATTTCATCAGATCCAACAAACAAATCTATACTATGTAAATTAAAATAACTACATGAATCCAACAAACACATCATGATGCTTGTAGTAGCCAAAAACTTCTCTCCCCTACAAATACAATTCCAAGATTACATAAGTTGGCAAACAAGTTGTAAATGTAGAAAACAAAAAAAAAGAATAAAAAATAGTAACAAAAAAATAAGATTAAGAAACAAAAAATATTTTTATAGATTCATATAGGCAATCTCACATGCTGAGATGTTGGTTTCTCTTACATAAAAAATAAAGTCAAATTTCTATTAAAATTTAATCGAATATAATTAAATTATAAAATAATTTTAATTGATTAAATTTATACCTTTTATTTTTTCTTCAAGTCATACCTATTACGTAGCCAATCTCCTCCACATATTAAAGATTGGATGGTATCTTCGGCCAAGCTAGAACGATAAGCATCAATAACTCTTCCTCCAGCACTAAATGTTGATTCTGATACTACTGTAGAGATTGGTACAACGAGTATGTCTCTTGCCATTTGTGATAAAATTTTATACTTTAAACTATTACTCCTCCACCATTCCAAAGCATCAAACGAAAGATGAAATTTTTCATGATATTCATAAACACTTTCTTCAAGATATAACTTCAACTCTGACTATGCTGCGGGAATAAATTCATGTTCATGCACGATGCTCATGATTTGGTCAAACCCAGAGGAAGAGCCACATGGAACTTGAGTAAAGAGAGTAGAAGAGGACATGTTCATCCTAGATCCCACCTGACTATCAGAGGATGATTCTTGCAAACATAAAGCTGAATATTCATTATATAGAGCTTCTAAAGCTTCACTCACCTTATCCATGTTAAATTGTGCCTCATATTCTGATTTGTATATAAGTGGAAAGCAAATTTTCACCACATGGAATTTACATCGTGGGTCTAAAAAACTAGCAATGCCCATCAACATATTGCATTCCCCCCAATATTTATCAAATTTATCTTTCATAAACCTTGTCATTCCTCTCATAAAATCATAATTGTCTTCAGCTGCAGCATCAATCACTTGTTTCACCCTAAACACTTCAGGAAGGTATAAATTTGCTATAGGATATCTAGTACCTGACATAACATTAGTAGCATGAGTGAAAACTTTTAAAAGATGGCATACATTTTCAACCTTTTCCCAATCTTCAATTGATGGCAAATAATTATAATGTGGCTCCCACTCCTTATATTCTGGAAAAACATCTTTAAATTTAGAAGCAATAGACAACATTTTATATATTGAATTTCATCTAGTGGGACAATCAACAACTAGTTTCCTTTCTTTTACACCCATCTTCTTAACAATATCACAAAAAGTCTTCAATCTTGAGTCAGAATGATTAACATATTTGATACTTTCACGAACATTTTCAATGATACCTTTGATCTGACTAAGACCATGTTGCACTAGCAAATTCAATATATGAGCACAACATCTCACATGAAATAGTTGTCCACCAAGGACTAAATTAGTGTTTCTTGCTAATGTGTTTTTCAAATTTCTTATACAAACATCATTATAGGTTGCATTGTCCATATATATTGAAAATATCTTATTTTCAATTCTCCATAATTGCAAACATTTAAAAATTGCATCAGTGACATCAACTCCACGCCTTAGAGGTGGAACCTTAACAAAACTCAACACTCGCTTTTGCAATTTCCATTTTGAATTAATAAAATGGCCTGTGATGACCATATATTCAGCTATTTGGTGACTAGACTTCCCCATATCAGTTGTTATATTGATCTTTTTCACACCCATCAATAAAGCCTTCAGACTTTTATTTTTTGCCTCATAAAATGCAATACAATGTTTTCTTGCAGTAATACGCGAAACTTTCTCAAATTCAGCATTCGCAAACTTAAAGACCTACATCCAAACATCGTCCTCCACAATACTAAAAGGATACTCGTGAATCATAATTGCAATAGCAATAATTTCTATCATCTTTTCATTGGTATACATCCCTCCGGGTGCAAGAAAAGGATTCAAAGTAGAACCTGCAGGTTGGAATGATAAAGTGTTCTACTTCTTCATGGATTGGTCCAATTTTCTATTCAAGTAATTTTGTGAATGCCTCTTTAGATGACTAGTACTACCTCCAATTCCCCCAGTTGCAATTTTTTGTTTGCAGTAGTTACAAACTGCTTTACGTCCAACATTAGGGATGTCCATTTCATGGAAATCATTCCAAACTGCAGAAGTTTTTCACCTCTTTTTCACCAAGCTTGGATCTTCAGATTCTTCACCTTGTGGGATTGGTTCATTGCTTCCATCTTGATTAGAAGCCATCTGTTTGAAAATGAAAATGCATTTAATGTTATATCAAAATTCTATATTCAAATCTTGCAATGTATATATTAAAAAACTAGCATTGTTCTCACTAGACTCAACAACAAGAATGACTAATTGAAAAGGGTTGATGATGGCACAAAACTGTTTGACTGCAAATGCCTTCCAAGTCAGAAACCGCAAATGTACCCTGCAAATGGCGTCCACAAATATTGTTAGCTATATAATAATGTGAAAGAGAATATGTGTATGCTTCAGATTTTAGCTCATCCTATAACTATCAACTTAACAAATATAAAAAAGAGTAAAGCCCTTTTTGGGTCCCTAACAAAAAACATGGTCCTCACTTTAGTCCCTTACAAAACAAAATAGTCGTCTGGTCCCTATGAAATTCAAAGTGGACCCATTTTAGTCTTTTTGATGGATTAATGTAGGTCTTTTTTAAATTTATGGGGGATCACGATTTCAACTAAATGGGTCCACTTTGTATTTTTTAGGGACATCAGGACTTTTTTTTTGTAAGAGACTAAAGTGAGAACCTTATTTTTTGTTAAGGACCCAAAAAGGAGATTTACTCTATAAAAAATGACTAAACTACTAGAAATAGTTAACAACAAATTGAACATAATAATTAAATAACATAAACAATAATATAATATTAACAAACGACATAAATAATAAAATACAAATAAATTACATAAAGAATTAGTGAATTCAAAAACTTACTAAATCATAAATGGGAATGACATAAACATATTTAAATTAATTATTAAATAATAATTAATAACAGATAACGAATATAAATATATATAAATATATAATAAATGGTTATACTAATATAAACAATCAACAATAAATTAAACCTATATACAAAAAAAAATTACAAAAAAGTCTCGGGTAACAAGGATAGTATGAGAGAACAAGGATAATAATAAATGGTTGAACTAATAAAAAAATCAACAATAATATTTACTATTAAATAATAAAGCGTATAGATGGCGTATATCAGAGACAAACGAAGAATGGTATCAAACCTTATGGATGGCGTCTAAGAACTACTCATTGACTAATTCCACGAGATCGACTTCATAAACATATGTCAGATAGCAACCTGTGCCCTAGAGAATATCGAAGATACTCTTTATATGCAATAAAGTCTATGACCTTGGGCTATCGCTATTTGTATGAAATAGGTGATAAAAAATGAGGGTGAATAATTGGGCTAGCCTGGAGGCTCACGGGCCAGGCCTATTATATTAAGATTCTGGCCCAATTAGTAAACAAACTTTTAAAACAGCCCAAGCCCAATTTGTTAACTAAAAAGGCCAGGCCAGGCCAGTGATGGGTCAAGCTGTAGGCCCTTGTAGGCAGGCCTAGCCCAGTTTCACCCCTAGTGATTATGGATTCCCCTACCTCTTTTGTTTTTGGGTCTCCGACTACTCCCAAGTCAGAGCCTACTATTTTTTTAATTATATCCTTGCTCCGCTAAGTGTGGATAAATTGGATGGGTCAAACTATGATTCTTGGTCGTCAGATCTGTGATTTTGGTTGGATGGGCAGAATTATACATTATATCTCACTACTAAGTTGACTCTATTGCGGATAATGAGTGCACACGATGGAAGATGATTGATGCTCAGTTGTGCAATCTTATTAAAGTTATTCTTCATCCTTCAATTAAGTATATTTTTCGACCTGCAAATACTTGTGAAGCTAGTTGGAGTCAGGCAAAGGCATTGTACACCAATGATACACAGCGACTCTATGGTGTGTGTCAGAAATTGATGACTACCTTTTTCCCTCGGAATTTCAATTGTCCTAGTTTGAGTATTTGGGAAAAGCTCAGAGTTTGTTTCATGATCTCAATGAACTTCTTCCCCTTACTAATGATATTACTAAGAAGCGGGAACAACGTCCCTTTTTATGTTGTTCATTTTATATGGTTTACCTTCTTATTTGTATACCAATCGGGATCAAATTTTGGAGTCTGCAACAGTTTCTACACTAGATTTTGTGATGTATGCCTTGCTTAGGATTCCATCTAAGCCCTCTAAATCATCAGCAGCTCCTATAACCCACGTACCTTTGGTTGACACCGTTGACTCCTCTACCCTTACTGCTCAGGGTTATGGTCGTGGACGTAAACCCTCTAAGAAAAAGCTACTATGCACTTATTGTCATCAGACCAATCATACTGTTGACCAATTTAGGAAGCTCCATGGCAAGCCACCTCAGCCTCTTTTGAATGCTCATATTGCTCAGGCTTCCTCTCGTGCTCCTGCTCCAAGGTTACCTTCTGTTGTGCAACCTCCTGTCGCTCTTCTTAATGAATTCGTGACTTGGTGGTCTGAGAAGCAAGCATCTGGTCTTACTGCCTCCATTGCTCCCACTAGTAATTCTTTTGCTGAGATCTGTCAGTTACATTCTTTAAGCCCTTGGACTCTTGATTTTGGGGCTTCTGATCACATTTCTGGTAATAAGTCCTTATTCACTTCTCTTTGTACCACTGGTTCGTTTTCCATTATTGCTATGGCAAATGGGTCTGTGGTCCAATCTCGTGGGATCGACACGATTCTTCTTTTACCTCGTTCATCTTTGGATCATATTCTATATGTTCCAAATTCTCCTTTTAACTTGCTTTCTACTAGTCGTTTGACAAAATCCATTGATTGTGTTGTTCCTTTACTAAAATCTCTCTCATTTTTTAGGATCGGAGTTTGGGGAAGGAGATTACCAAAAGATGTGAGTTTCATGGCCTCTATCAACTGTTTCCTTCTTCTTCAACCTGCTCCACCATGGATTCTCCTCTCATTATACATGCTCGTTTGGGTCATCCAAGTCTTGTCAAGCTTCAGAAGATGGTTCCACATTTATCGTCTCTTTATAGTTTAAATTATGAGTCTTTCAATTTGAAAAACATACTCGTAGTACGTTCCCAAGTCATCTTAGTCATCAAGCTTTGTTCCCTTTTCTGTGGTCCACTCTGACATTTGGGGACCAAGTCATCATCCTTCTACTTTAGGATTTAAGTATTTTGTTACTTTTATTGATGATTATTCTAGATGTACTTGGTTATTTCTAATGAAAAATTATTCTGAGTTATTTTCTATTTTTCTGTTATTTTATAATGAAATAAAAACTCAGTTTGGTATTCCTATTCGTACTTTTCGTAGTGATAATGCATGTGAGTATTTATCTCATCAATTTCAGCAATTTTTTTCGTCTCATGGCATTCTTCATCAAACATCTTGCCCTCATGCACCCCAACAAAATGGTGTAGCCGACCGCAAGAACCATCATCTTATTAAGACTACTCGTGCTTTGTAAATTGATGGCAATGTTCCTTACAAATTCTGGAGAGATGCTATTCTCACTGCATGTTATCTCATTAATCGCATGCCTCCATCTGTTCTTCATCACAAAGTATCTTACTCTATTTTATTCCTCCATCAAGTTTTATATCCTTTAACCCCACATGTGTTTGGTTCTACATGTTTTGCATCATCTCGGTCTAGACTTGGATAAACTAGCTCCCAAGTCTCATAAATGTGTTTTTTTGGGATATCCTCGATCTCAAAAGGGTTAGCGTTACTACTCTCCGACTTTACGTCGATACTTTATATCGGCAGATGTTTCCTTCCTTGAATTAGTTCCCTTTTTGGCTTCTCTACTACTCTTGGGGATACTATTGATTCTGTTCAGTCCTTTCTCCCTGTCAACTCCTTTGTATACCTTCCGCCTTTACCAGTCCATGTTTCTGACTCTCCTTTTGTCACCTTTTCTCCTGATGACTTACAACATGGTTCTCCAGATATTTATGTGGACTCACATCTAACTGCATCTCCTCCCTCAGCTTTGGTCCCACCTTCTGCTAGTGACCTTCCCATTGCTCTTCGTATGGGTACATGTGATACTCGTCCTCTAGCCAGATAAACAGTTAATATTAGTTACCATCATCTTTTTCATCATATTATGTATGTCTTTCCTCTTTGTCTTTTGTGTCTATTCCTAAGACTACATGTGAAACACTTTCTCATTTTGGATGGAGATAAGCTATGATTGATGAAATGAGTGCCCTTCATCACAATGGTACTTGGGATCTAGTCCTTCTTTCTTTTGGAAAATCTATTGTTGGCTGTCACTAGATTTATGCTGTTAAGGTTGGTCCTGATGGTGAAGTGGATCGCCTTAAAGCCCGCTTGGTGGCAAAGGGTTTTACTCAGGTGTTTGGGCTGGATAATAGTGACACATTTTCCCTTGTGGCGAAAATGTCTTATGTTCGCCTCTTTATTGCCATGGTTGTTATACGCCACTGGCCACTTTATCAACTTGATGTTAAGAATGTTTTTCTTCATGGTGATCTTGTGAAGGAAGTTTATATGGTGCAACCTCCTGGATTTGTTGGTCAGGGGAAGTCAGGTCTTGTTTGTCGTCTCTGCAAGTCTTTATATGGTTTCAAGCAATATCCACCAGCTTGGTTTGGCAGATTTAGTAGTGTTGTTTAATAATTCGGTATGACTCGGAGTAAGACTGATCATTCTCTTTTTTGTTGTTATTCAGCTTTTGGGTCTATCTACCTGGTGGTGTATGTGGATGATATTGTCATCACAGGTAGTGATAATCATGGGATTACTTAGTTGAAACAACATTTATGTCATCAGTTTCAGACCAAAGGATTTTGGGAAACTTCAATATTTCTTGGGAATTGAAATTGCCTAATCTAAAGATGGTGTTGTAACATCTCAAAGGAAATATGCTCTGTATATTCTTAAAGAGACTTCCTTGTTAAATTCTAAGTCTGCTGAGACACCTATGAATCCCAGTGTTAAGCTTATACCACATCAGGGGAGCTCTTTTCATATCCTGAAAGGTATATAAGATTGGTTGAAAAACTGAACTACCTCACAGTCACTCGGCCTGACATTTCTGTAGTTAGTGTGGTAAGTCAGTTTCTTAATTCTCCATGTCAAGAACACTAAAATGAAGAATCAAAGTGATGA